GTTCACGTTATCATCACCGTGACTGACTGACACTGCTGGTAGGCAGATGATCAAAGTGGGGAAGACTGCAACATCCAGCCCTCTTTCCAGACTGCATTTGCAGTAATACCCAGCTTGGCTACGAGACTTTACACTAGCCATTCTGCAGAGACTACCTGCTGGATGCATCTCAAGTGCAGGTTGCTGTGGTGGGGTGGGATTGGCATTTGGTGAAAAGGTGCAAAATTCTGGGGTTTGAGCATGCTTACCCCATGTATGTGCTTGCATGTGTGTATATGTGCGTTGCTAGGGAAAACGGGGCAGTAGTCCCCTTTTTCTGGGTACTGGTAACTTCATGGTACAGCCAGATGCTAGTTTCTCAGTGTCTCTTCATGAACCTTTTAAGAGCAGAGTATTGTACTTATGCTAGGGACACAGGCCTTTAGCCTGTCAGGGTAAGAGAAGATCACAGAGCTCACACTTGAGGGAATGCGACAGGAATAAAGTCTAAAATATAACCTCCTCTCACAGAATGTGATGGGGAAAGGGTCAAGTCTTAATTTTTGATCATCTGTCATTGTTTTCCTTTGTGCAGAAGTTCACCATCTTGTGTGTAACTGAATCTTGTTAATTATAAATATCTGTATATGATTCTATCGGGGAAAATGTTTTTTAATTGTAAAGTATTTTATATAATAAAGGGGGGGAGAATTAAAATTGCCAAAATGGCATCTTTCTTTGTGCCTCTGTTGGAGCTGCATACAGTGTGTAGTATAGATCTCTGGATGTATAAGCCCACTGGTTTTCAAAAGATAAATCAGTCTCTCAGTTTCTGACTCCTCTTTTGATCCAGGTCTTGTTTTAATGATAGCTTATATGCAAATGAAGCCTAGAGGACCTAATTTTGCTGTAGCCTCAGGCTTTGGTTCTGTGAGCCAGTAGAAGAGCTTCCCTGGGCCAGAAGCACACTCTTTTTCGTTGCTTAGGTTTAGGGGTCAGTGATGAACTTTTTTGCATTTTCTTGCCATCTGCAGTGAGGGAAGTTGTGCTACATTTTATGACCTCTTTGAGGAACCTGACTGCTGCAGTAGTCCAAGACTGGGGGCTTTGGCAGGGAGCACTCACCCTTCCTTTTCCACCAGGCACTCGTTTCTTCATACCTCTACCTCCCAGGCTTGTTTTTCTCTTGCTACTTTAACAATCAGGAGCAGAAAGTGTGTGCAGAGAATAGTTCTTGCTGTATGTTTTCTGAGCTCTAGTGTCCTGTGTGTCTCCCATCCAGCCCTGTGGCACACATGCACTGTTCTGAAATTGCTGTAGTGCATGCAAAACAATTTGCTGTTTGTGCTGTCTAAAAGGAAGGGAAACACTGCTTCTGTGTCCTGCTCTCTCACACTGCTCCTGATCAGAGGTGTGCCTTTTGGTTCTTACCGATTTCAGTTCTGTCCGATTCTTCTCTGCTCAGCAGAAGAAAACATTAGTGCCTACGCTGTTCTTCACTTGCTGTTCAGGTCTTCTGCCTTCCCCAGTTCTCTGCTGTCCCTCTCACCACCTATTTCCTTTGCCTCTTTGCTGTACCACATTCCTCTCAGTACACACTCCCATTATCACTGTTTGGCCTTTCCTTTTTCTCATCCTCAAGTGCCATTAATGCTTCTCTTCTCTTTGGCTTCCTAGTTGTCTCAATTTCCCTTGCCATATGGTTTATCTTTTGACTTTGTGCTTGATGTCCTTCCCTATCGCATATCCCCTCCTGTCCCTGCAGCTAGGGTGGGCTGTCAACACTTGTTCTCTTTCTCTATAAATTGTTCTCACCTTCTTCCCTCTCTCCCACCTTAAATCATCTCACAGCATCCATGCTGCCTTTGTGTGGTGGGTTGACCTTAGCTGGACACCAGGTGCCTCCAAGCCACTCTATCACTCCTCTCCTCAGCAGTCGGGGGGCAGAAGTTAGGATGGAAAAAAAATAACCAAACACATGAGTCAAGATAAAGCCAGTTTAATAAGCAAAAAGCAAAGGCTGTGCATGGAAGCAAAAGAAAACAAAAGATTTACTCTACTTTTCATCAGCAGGTGATGCTCAGCCACTTCCTGGGAAGCAGGTCTTCGGTAGGTGTAGCAGTTGTTCTGGAAGACAGATGTCAAAAATGAATGCCCCCACTCCTCCTTTCTCTTAGCTTTTATTGCTGATGATATGGAATATCCCTTTGGCCAGTTTGGGTCAGCTGTCCTGGCTGTGTCCCCTCCCAAGATCTTGCCCAGCCCTAGCCTAGTGGTGATGGTGGGGAAATGTTGGAGAGACAGCTGTGCAAGCACTGCTCAGCAGTAGCCAAAACACTGGTGTGTTATCAACAGTGTTCTAGCTACCAATACAAAGCACAGCACTATGAGCGCTGCTATAGGGAAAATGAATTCCATTTCAGAAACTTTGCTGAGGCCAGATCTTCGCTAAGACACTAGTCCCTATTTAGTCTCCCAGGGCTGAGTGAAGATTGAGCTGCCTCTGTCCAGACCATGTCTAACCTTGTTCTGTTAAGAGTTGTCTTTGGAATGTTGGTGCAGGGAACAGCAGCTGGCTGATTGTATCTGCATTCTGGTTCCAGCTCACAAGTTTTGCCTGCCCTCTTGCAACCCTGTCTCTGGCCACTTCTGAACGAGGCTTGCACTGGGGCACTAAGTATCTTGATCCTAGTTTGCATTTCCAGCTTCATCCACATCCTCTGTTGCGAAGCCCTGTTGTACAGTGGGTGTGGGTAGCAGGTACTGGAGCATTTTAGACTCACAGAAAGGTGAAGCAGTGAGGGATGTTTGGAGGTTCCTAATGTAACCCCCTGCTCACAACAGGCCTGACTTGAATGCTAGGTCAGGTAGCAGAGGGCCTTATAAAAGACGGTGCTTTACAGTTCTTTTACTTTCTCCTCCTGTACTTCCCCAACATACAGAACAGTGTCTGGGCCTATCATTGCTAAAGGCATGTGAGGAATCCCAGCAGGACCTTCTTTGTTCTTAACTGAATCCATGGGCTTCACAGGACGCAAACTAGGTCTTTCATAGGGAACTGGGTATGTTGTCAAAAGGGATGGTTCAGTACATGTTCTTCCACCCACATTTCTTGCTGTGTTTCTGCTGTATTTCTTCCTTCAGTGTTTTATTTATTTGCTGCTTAAGGCCACATGAAGTCTTAGAATCTCTTGTTTCTTGGTGTTGGCTTTACTCAACACCTAGCAAATTAAAAGCTGTGCTTTGAGATCCTTATACTTCTAGCCACAGTGCTCCTCATTAGCTTCCATACTTGTCAAGAAGGTAGGTGTGCTGCCATTTATGCTGCTGTGTATACTCTACTTTACTGCTGCAGTTTCCTCATCTTGAGCTGCTGATCCTTGTTATGATCCTGGGTTTTCTTGAATTACAACCCTCTGATCTCTTGTTTTAGGTCCCAGGCTCCTACCTCTTTTGCTTGTGTGAGCTGAAGTCTTTCCAGTCTGGAAGGGGCTCAGACCAATTCTTCTCTAGAGGAGTGCTCTAGGGGTGGTGACCTGAAGTTTGTGTTTGTGGAAAGGGCAAGCATATAGTGGGAACTTCCATATTCTCTAGGAATGTGCCTGACCCACAAGTTGCATCAATATGTTTGTTTAACAGCCTTTGGTGAATTTATTCTCTGAGGTCTGTCTCTTGTTGATTTTTAAACCAGATGGTGCTTTTGGTCTCTACAATGTCTTGTGGATGCACAGAACTGTGTTTAGATACCCAAAGTATTTTCATTTGTTTCAAGCCTGCTACCTCTTCCTTTGTGGTCTCCTATTTCTAGTACTGTAAGCTATAGCAGATAATATGGTTCTAGTACAGTCCATGTCTCCCCAGGGGAGCCCTTTCCCTAACTTCTGTATCTCTTCTGCTTTTACTGTATTATTGCTAGTATTTAATTTATGCTCTAGCCTGCACTGGGACCCTGACCACAGACACCATGCCTCTTTCTCCTCTTCCGAGTCAGTCCCTGATGCTCAGAAATGTTTTGGCAGGCGAGTCTGCTACTGAGGAAGGATTGAAAGCAGCACAGCAGCTCTCCCACCTGCAGCAGCAAAGCAGCAACAGAGACAGGCCAGCAAGACAGACCACTTTGTCAGAGCACACTCTGGAAGCTTCTCTGTATGGTAGTCTCTTCATGTAGGCATGTGTTTCCTTGCTCTCATAAAAGAGAAACCTTTTGCCAGTCACCATTATGCTTAGTATGGCAAAGCATTGTCTGGTCAGCTTTTGGATGCCTTATTTGAGATGTGAAACCTTGAAACTCTGTAATTGTCTAGGACCTTAGGAAGAGTTGTAGGTACAGTGATCCCCTGAAAATCTCATGCTGGATGGGTAGGTGTTTTTGAAACTTTTCAAGTTCTCTGTTGCATTTCTTAAGCAGAAGTGACACCTAGTGTTGAGTCGAGGGCAGGTCTGTCACACTTGCTTGGACCGGGCCACTAACGAGTTTAGGAGCACAGCCTGCTAATAAAACATGAGAGGATCAAAATGCTGGGTGCATTTTCTGAATGTGTGACTTTTGTGAGCTGGAGAGGCTTCCCCAGCCAAATGTGGGGCTGTGAAGCTAGGACCTTTTGAGGGTCTTGGATGCTTTTTTTTTTTCCCTCTGGTACTAAGCATCTAATTAGTCTGGATCTTTGTGTTTGCGGAATCCAGTTTAGCAACTATGCCATGGAAACCCATTTGCACATTATTAAACACAGGGACAGAAAGCAATCCAGTTGGGTTTCTGATATTTTGAAACAATTAAAACAGTTATTCTCAGACAGTGTGTTGCCTTGTCTTTTATCTGGGAAGGGGAGACTTTGGGAAGGAAATAATAGTTAGAAAAGCTCTTCCCTTTCCTTTCTGGCTTCTGTGTCTTGTTGAGTGGGACTTAGAAGGCTTTTGTCAGTCTGTATTTGCTGTGCCTCTCTTTCCAGCACATCTTTTGTGGAGCTCACTGCCAATGCTGTGAGTGGATATGC